CTGGTACCTGCAGTGAATACTTTTCCTGCAACCAAGAAGATCACGCACAGCCCGACAGCGGAGTCTTTTCGCTATCTTGTTGAAAACACTCCCACCATCTCGCTGTGGAGAAAAGCAAAGAGGTGAAAGGGCTACTTTGGGTACTTTGGGGTGGGAATCCCCTGCCCTTATGTCCATCTCTGCCCCATGCCTCTACCTTGCCCAGTCCCTCAGCCCTGCCCCTCCCTGCAGGCAGGCCTCCAGGATCTGCAGGTCAGACCTCCAGAAGACTTTTGTTCATGGCATTCCTCTTGCAGGCCCGGTTGAGTTGCACATGCCAGAATGTGTTTGTGGGGCAGGTGTCACTCGAAGGGACTCATAGCTGTGGTCTGGGGCTTCACTGAGGGCTGCTCTGGAAGCCTCATCTTGTGCTGAGGAGCACAAGGGGGCGAAAGCTAAGATTGAGCCCCCGGTGCATGGAGGCTGTCCAGTCCTAGGAAAAAGGAAGGAAAAGCTTTTGATGACCTCCAAATTGGGGACACCAGTCCATCCAAGTGCAGAGAACACACCTCAGTGACATTAAGATTGGGGAACATGGGCCTTGGGGACCCTGGGTTTCACAGGAGGATACAGGATTTTAAGATCAGGGTGCACTTGGTGGCTTCCAGTCCTGAAGAACGACTTCAACTCTTTGATTGTGAGATTGACCCAAGACTGAGGACAGTGAAGCGTCAGGGACAATCCAGAAAGTAAGCCTCAAGCCCTATAGAATTAGAGCCCTTCAGAGGGAACTAACACGGACCCCTGTGTTTAGGGGTTCCGGCCCCCGTGACCCTGGATAGGCTCTCGGGTCCTACCGCTAACTATGACACCAAGACAGGCGACGGACCCTCAACCCGGTCAAGAGGTGACTCACACGCCAGGAAAGAAGGTCGCCGGAGTCCGCGAGAACCGCCATCCCACCGCCCGCCATCCTGACTGGGTGGAGGGAATTAACTGGATAAGGAGGAAGCCTTAGGGGGCGGGCCACAAAAGGGCTGCCATGTTTGAGCGAGGGCATCGAAACCATAGCCTGACCGGTAGTGGACGCCCCCTTCGTTCCGCCATCCTTTACTAAGGGCAACCGGAAATTGCGTATCGACTCGCTTGCGTAGTTTACAGCCTGTTTTGGAAATGGACCCTTTGCCCCTAGTAAGGAATCCTGGCCTGAGAAAATATTCATGCTTAAAGTTTCATCAACAAAGCTATTTCGTAACGGTGGAAAAACGGCAGACAAGCTGAATGTCCAAGCATATGATGGCAGCAGAACTTTTAATAATGCACATATACATCATGTTAAACATCAGTTGCAGCACTGAGTTTACCCACCTTAAGGGTTGACCTTATGCTTGAATTCCCACACCACCAGGATGCCCGCAGTAATTCCCCTTGTACAGTGAGGAAACAGGCCCAGCCGATGCAGTCATTACTTCAGGTTGCCTGGGCTTCAGGAAGGGTGGCTGAAGCCAGGATCACATGGCTCCAAAATATCACGTTCTTTTAAAATAAAACCCCAAGGAAAAAGCCAGTTGCCCAAGGCATAAAAAGTACTGCTTAAGTATGCTCATTAGGGAGACATTCACCAAGGCTGCAAACAGATGCACCTCTGGCCAGTGGGAGCCGTCAGGGAGTATCCTTTGCTTTCCTTAAATGGAACATGTCTAAGGGGTTTTCAGACCTAAGACACCAGCAACTATTTCCTAACCAGGAAGACTAATTATCTATGCAATGGAAAACTCTGAAAACCCCTTATGCCAAAGAATAACCAATGTGAGAAAAAAAATTGTTATCCTTTGGTGTTAGTTGTACATGGCTATATATGCACAGAATATGGTCTATGTAATATCCATGGAAAGGAGAAACTGCTAACAGGGAATGAAACTGGGTGCTAATGGAGACTGGAAAATCCAGTTTTCATCCCCCTTAAAAACAAACTCTAAAAAGTGTCAGGGCATGGTGGCTCATGCCTGTAATCATAAGCACTCTGGGAGCCAAGGCAGGTGGATCACTCAAAGTCAGGAGTTGAAAACCAGCCTGACAGGGCAAGACTCCCGTCCTCTACTAAAAATGAAAGAAATTAATTAGCCAACAAAAAAAAAATATATATATATATAAAATTAGCTGGCATGTGACGCATGCCCCTGTAGTCCCAGGTATTCAGGAGGCTGAGGCAGAAGGATCTACTTGAGCCCAGGAAATGAGGTTGCTGTGAGCTAGGTTGACACCACAGCACTAGCCTGGGCAAGAGTAAGACTCTGTCTCAAAACCAAACAAACTCTAAGTTGATTTAAGAAGTATATGGCTACAAGACAGCTGCAACTGTCCCCTCCTTGTCCAAAAGTTGTTCAAACTTTCCCTGGAGAGCAAAGTTTTTCATGTGATAAATGATGCCATGTACTAAAAGTAGCTTGTTAACAATGTTAGTTTAAAGGCTTCTCCACCAGTAAATTTAAAAAACGTTGGGTTCTTTCCTCAAAGCACACATTGTCAAACAATCCAAGGTAGCATTATTTATGACTGCTCCTGCGCAGGCCACCTCTTTCCCTCTAGTTCAGTCAGTCTCTAAACCAGGATGCTTCCCAGATTGTAGCCCATTGCCAACTATATTCACATGTGCACACCTACAAGTGGGGAGTATCCATCACATTGGCAATTATATTTACTTTGTTAAATATCTTTAACCCAGCAATTGCAACTGTCAATTTACCTCCGATTATTATCCAAGGGAAAGTTTATCAGGTAAGTTTTGTTATATGCTTGCGTAGGTTTCAGTACAACAGACCTGGATATTATCCTGGGACCAAGTAAAATTATGACATATCCCATGCAAACTTAAATATTAAACCGCCCAGATGACTGATTACCCTTGGCCAAGGGGACCCAAGAAATACCCCAAAGCTGGAGTTGCTCACCCATGAGACGGGAGGTCAGACACTCCCCCCTACCCTTCTTGAATGTTTTCCGACAAAAGTTTAAACACACCCAACCCAGGTTCATCGGTTTAACTGAACAGATCATGAGTCTGGGTATATGTCCTAGTCGTTTGTCTGTTTTAGACTTCCTTACCTAAAAACATTCTTAAGCCCTTTATTTAGTTTTGACAAAAGGTCCTCCCTTTGTTGCCCCCAGGCTGAGTGAGTGCCGATGGCGCAGCTTAGCTCCGCAACCTCAAACTCCTGGGCTCCAAGCAATCCTTCTGCCCTCAGCCATTCGAGTAGCTTGGGGATACAGGCCTGCGCACCATGCCTGGCTAATTTTTTCTATATATATTAAAGTTGGGCCATTAACTTTTTTCTATTTATAATAGACGGGTTTCGCTCTTGACTCAGGCGGTTTCAAACTCCCTACTTGAAGGCAATCCTTCTGCCTTCAGCCTCAGAAGTGGTAATATTACAGGTGTGAGCCACCGCTCCAGAACATTCTGAAGCCTTTAGACAAGCCTTCATTTCCTTTAACCAATTACAAATTTAAACCTACCTATAACCTATAAGGCCCCTGGCCTTGAGATGTCCACCTTTTCAGGCCCAACCAAATGTATGCCTTCTATGTAGATTTTACCATGTAATTGACTACATGGTAACTCTTATGTCCTTGAAATGTATAAAACTAAAAAACTGTACCAAGGACAGAGGCCCACACTTGTTCAAGCTTCTTGGGTGTGGCTTCTGGGCCATGGTCCTCAACCTTGGCTCAGAATACATTTAAATTATTTACAGAAGTTTGGGTTATTTTTACATTGACCACACACACTGTACTATCCAA